GCCCCCCGGGGGTCCCCACGCCCGGCTGCCGGTCCCTGCGCAGGGTGGGTTTGGTGGGGGGGAGCGTGTGTGAGCCTTTCCCAGCCCCTCGGTGGCCCCAGCCCCACTCGCCGCCCCCGGGTCCCGCACCGGGGTATGGAGGAGCTGGGGGATAGAAGCAGCCCCACTCCCCGGCACAGGGATGGGGGTCCAACCCGCAGCCGTGGGGGGGCTCTGGCAGGAGGGTGCCCACGGGATGGGGGTGCATCCCTCTGGGGAGCCCCACAGCAGGAGGTGTGCCGAAATCTCCTCTCACCCATTGGGGTGACCCCAAACTCCCACCCTCTGGGCTGGGATTTTGCTAAAAGGGAGAGGGGTGGCAGCCTGCAGGGGGTCCCCGTGCCCTTGGGCCCCCCAGCCCCTATGCTGTGAGGAAACGAGGACCCCCCCCAGCAGGAGCGTCCATGCTGGGGAATACAGGGTTTGGAGGTCAGCCAAGGGATGCTGTGTGGTCCAGGGACCCCCACGGGGCTGAGCCCCCCTGGCTTGTGCCAGCCTTCAGGTTTGCCCCCATGTGCATGTGCAATGCCCAGACCCCCCCCCTGTCTCGGCACAGGGACAGTGCCTCTGCCACTGGTGTCCAGGATGTCCCTGGGCATGTCACTTAGCTTTCCCCCACGGATGGGGACGTGCAGTACCGAACAAAACACAATCAGCTGGGCTGGGGGACAAGGGAGGGACGGATCCAGGGCTGGTAGATCCAGCCCTCCCCTTGTCCCCCAGCCCAGCATCTGGATCGTTGCACCAGCCCCGTGGCCACCACGCTCCCGTTGATGGCGTCGATGGCGTCGATGGCTGGAGTGGCAAGCTATTTCTAACAGTGTGCTCTCATCCGTCGGGAACCTGCTCATCACCAGGTGCTAATTCGGGGCAAGTTGAGAAATAGGGGCGAGGTATCAGGGGACAAACATCACAAGGTGTCCCCAAGAGGCGAGTGGGATGTCTGCAGCGTCCAGCCAGGGATGTAAGACGAGGAGGTTGCTCTGCCGACGTGACAAATACCCCCGTCACTGCCATCCACTTGGGCGACCTGAAATGTGGCACCCTGGGGACAAATTACCACTCTGGAGCGGCTGACTGCTCCTTGTATGGCTGAAGACCAGGGTCTGCCACCAGACAGGATAAAAATAGCCCGTGGCCAAAGGGCCTGATTCAGGGAGGTGCTGGGCACCCCCCTGGCACAAGGGGATGAAGCCTCAGGTCTTGCCCATGTGGGTTTTGGGGTGTGGGAGATGTTGGTGGAGGTCTGGGGATGCTGCCGGGCATCTGCTGGCACATGGAGGGGCAGCAGACTTGGGCCAGCCCTGTTCTGAGGTAGCAGGAATGGCTCCAGGGGGGCAGCATGGGATGTCGCTGGGGTGTGGGGACATTTGTCCTTACCACCTGTAATGGGAGACTTCCCTGAGCGCAGGAGCCAGGAGTTTCCCTGGTGGCAGCATGGGTCTGGCCCTGCACCATGGTATCACCACAAGGAGCCCCCCAGCTCCGGTGGATTTGCAGTTGCCCCCTCCCTGACCCCCAGCTGTGGATCCCCTTTGGCTTTTGGGGGCGCAGGGATGCCCATGGAGCCCCCGTGCACAGGCAGGGTGAGGACCTGAGCTGTTGGGGACAGCATTTTGGGGGGCCCTGGGTCACTTTGGGGTACAAGAGGTCCTGGCATGGACCCGAGTAATGGTGCAAGTGGGCACAGCCCTGCCCTCAGCTCCAGATCCTGTGGGGTTAACAGGACGGGTGAGAGCAGCCCCGCAAGGTCAGTGAAGGCCATCGAGTGCCCAAGAATGCCACCGACGTGTTGTTACACACTGCCCTGGCCCCAGCTGCCAACGGGGGAATGTCAAACATTGCCTCCCTTGGCACCCTATGTGGTCCCAGCCACGGGGATGCCTCTGTGGGGACAGGGACATGGGGCTGCACGTCCCCCTGCTCTGTCCCCACCAGGGACACAGGGCTGCATGTCCCCTGCCCTGTCCTCAGCTGGGACACTGGAGAGCACGTGCCCTTCAATTTAACCAGCCCCATCTTCCAACGCTCATCCCACCAACCCCACGCCCGTCCGTGTCTCCTCATCTGTGCCTGTATGCCCCTTTCCATCCCTTCTCTCCCCCTTTCCCACCCATATTGCTGCCATTTTGGGGTGGATTTACGCTGGTTTGGGGGTACTGGTGGCACCCAAAGTGCCCCGTCTGGGTCCCATTTTGGAGCCAGAGGAGGAAATTCCAGAGCCCTTTGGACTGGGAGGGGAGAGTTTGTGCTGGGGAGTGGGACATTGGGCATTTTCTGTTTTTTTCACCCATTTCTGTCCACAGGTCACTTCAAACTCTGACAACCGCCTCCCAGCCCCAGAAAAATCTCTTCTCCTCCCAAACTGCTCTCCTGCACCAAGGGCCCAGTGGGATACGCCCCCCCCACCAGCAGCATCACTGCTCACCCCACATGGGGAGGGCAGGGGTGACGCGTCCTGCTGGGCAGGGGTGCCATGAGAGGTGGCACAGAGGGGATGCTGACTTGCCTATGGTCCTTGTTGTGCCCCCCACTCTGTGTTAAATGCAGCTCGGGGCAGGGAAAGGGACTTGGGCAGGAGCAGGACGCAGTCCCGGAGCTCAGCAGTCTCAAGCTCCATCAGTTGCTGTGAATTTTAAGCCTGGTGGGACCACGTTGGGAGACTGCCAGCAGCAGGACTCCCTGTCCTCCCAGCAGCCTGGCTCCCAGTGCCCCAGCTGAGGAGCCGTGCATCAGCTCAGCCGTCTGTAAAGCATCCCGGTGGGGACACATCCCGGGAGCTGCGGGCATGCCCCCGAGCTGGTTGGAGGCACGGGC